GGGAGATGTCGGACAGGGCAAGATATGACAAAATAATAATTTATAAATTATCAAGGGCTCATGAGGGAGCAGGGAGTGGGGAGGGAGGGGGGAAAATGAGGATCTGATGCCAGGGGCTTAACTGGGAGCAAATATTTTGAGAATGATGAGGACAATGAATGTACAAATGTGCTTTACACAATTGATGTATGTATGGATTGTGATAAACGTTGTATGAGCCCCTAATAAAATGATTAAAGCACAAAAACAACAACAACAACAACAACAAAAACAAGTGTTTGTGTACCCAGCTGCCTTCATTTCTCTTGAGTAAATAGCTGGGAGTAAAATAAGTAGGTCAGAGAGTAACATTATATTAACCCTGTAGAAACTGCCGGACTTCTAAAAGCGCTGTACCGTTTTATATTGTAGGAGAGTTCTAGGTCCTCCACGTCCTTATAAACACTTAGTATCTGTTGTTTTAATTTTAGCTATTCCAATCTCATTTTGGCTTTAGTTTACATTTCCATGTTGATCTAAGATTTGAGCATGTCTTCATGAGCTTTTGGCTATAGGATATTTTCTTTTGGAAATACTCATTCAAAATTTTTTATATATTTAAAAATTAAGCTGATTATTTTCTGATGACTTCATCAAAAGAAGTCTTTATATCTCTTGAATACAAGTCCCTCTATCATATATTTAGTGCATGTAACTTTTTTCAGTCAGGTATTTTCTTAATGTTAGTGTTTTTACTTTTATTTTATTTTTTGTTAAGTTTTTATTTTTGATGAAGTTCAGTTTATAAATATTTAGTTTGTTTCTTGCTGTTTTGAGTCCTTAGAAATCTTTTCCTACTTACATATTAAGATTTTCTTTTATGTTTTCTTCTGCAAGTTCTATCTTTTATATTTGTCTATGCTTCATTGCAGGTTATTTTTTTGGTTTGATGTGAACGAGGTTATTTTTTTAATGTTGATATTTAGTTGCTCTAGCAATATAGTTTTAGAATATTTCCCCCTTTGAGTTGCCTTGATAATTTTATTGGAAATAACTACCATGTATGTGGGCCTACATCTGAATTTTAAATTTCGTGTCATTACCTTAGTATCATGACTAAGGTTGGTCTTGAGATTGGTTTATGTAACTCCTCCAACTTTGTCCTTCTTTTCTAAAACAACTTTGGATATTTGCATTTCCACATATACTTTAGAACTACTTTTAAAATTTCAATACAAATCCATGCTAATGTTTTGATTTGTTTATGTAGTTCTATAGAGAATTTGGAGGTGGGGTAAAAGACTGAAATCTTAGAAGTGTCAAATCTTCCCATGCCTGAAGCTGCCTTACAGACAAACGAATTCACTGCCACAGAGTCCATTCCAACTCACAGTGACCCTGAAGGGCAGGGTAGAACTGCCCCGTGCATTCCAAGTCTCTCACTCTCTAGTGGAGGGCAAAGCCCTGTCTTTCTCCCTCAGAGTGGATGGTGGGTTTGAACTGGTTCTTAGTGATGTAGTCGGGATTTGATCATGCTTACCATTGGTTTAATAAAATTGTGTTCATTAGCTTTGATCTTGCTTTAAAAACTGACACAAAGATGAGCTCTTTGAGCAACACTTTTGGTGTCCATAGAGCTAAATGCCTGCAAAGGCCAAGATGTTGACATAACATGGAAGATCCTGAGCCATGTGGTAAGTCTAATGTCTGCTTCCAGGCATTTCTGGACTTGAGCCACAGTTTCTTCATTCATCTAGCATGACCGTCCTTCAGCTCATCTTGGAGGTCTTCCTGCCCACCCTTAAAATATTTGATCATCTAAAAAATGTTGTTTTATGGGGGGCAGCTTTCTTGGCAAAGTTTTAATGATGTGGAAAGGTGTCTACTTGAGTTTTGTTAAACATTTGCTATTAGTCCCGACTTCAGGATATTTTTTCCCCTAAAACATAAGCTTTATTTTAAAAAAACTTGTTTTTTTTAAAAAATGAGGTGGGCATTTATATTTGAGATGATCATTTTGTATTCAGAGGTGCATTACTGGAGAACTTGTCTGGAGCCATCCACTGATCACAGAGACATCTTTAAAGATACTTTGTTTGGGGAGGGGGTGGAGGGGTGGGGAATGAGCTGATACCAAGGGCTCAAGTAGAAAGCAAATGTTTTGAAAATGATGATGGCAACATATGCACAAATGTGCTTGACACAATGGATGGATGGATAGTTTGTGATAAGAGCTGTATGAGCCCCCAGTAAAATTATTTTTTTAAAAGAGAGAGACTTTGGAATAATTCCTTGCATGAATGAACCCTAGTACCAATACTTTTTGCCTTACGGTGCACACAAAGCAAACGTACGCTAATGAGCTGTTGCTGCAGGCACAGTAGTGCCATCCGTCACATTCATCCTCAAGCCTTTTTCTGAGTTGTGCCTCCCACTTTTTTTTTTAATTAAAAGGTCATTTTGTTGGGGACTCTTACAGCTTTTATCACAATCCATATATCAATTGTATCAAGCATATTTACACATATGTTGCCATCATTTTCTAAACATTTATTTTCTGTTTGAGCCCTTGGTATCAGCTCCTCTCCGCCCCCGCCCGCCCCCCCACCATAACCCCTTGATACATTATACATTATTATTTTCATATCTTACACCGACCACGGTCTCCCTTCACCTACAGTTCTGTTGTTTGTCCCCCTGTGTGTGGGGGGTTGTTATGCGTGATCATTGTGATGGTTCCCCTTCTCCCCTCCCCCTGAGGGTAGATGTCTTCGTGGGATCAGGAAAACTCATTTTTCTCCCACAGAGTGGCTGGTGGGTTGTACCTGCTGACCTTGCAGTTAGCTGCCCCCCAAAGTAACCCACACTCCACAGTCCTCCCTCAGCCGATCCTAGAGACGGAGCATTGCTCAGACAGTAGGGAGGCACATATGGCACCTCAACGAAGGTTTTGTTTTAACTAACATTTTAAACACCACGTGAGAGATGGTATTTCTTTGTTGATTTACTTGTCTTTGAATGCTATGATGAATTTGTATTCAAACCCAAGGCAGTTGACCTATCAATGCAGTAAAGAAAATTGCAATGAAAACAAAAGTTACTGTGAATTTTTTCTAACGGAAATTTTTCTTCCTAGTGGACATTATGACACACGTGGCCTGGAAGCTAAGTGGTTTATCTGCCAGTAGCGTCATTGGAAGCGGTTGTAATCTCGACTCTGCCCGATTCCGTTACTTGGTGGGAGAGAAACTCGGTGTGCATCCCACCAGTTGTCATGGTTGGATTATTGGCGAACATGGAGATTGTAGTGGTAACTATAAACTTAACATTATGTAATCACCTTTCTTCTGAGCACACTTATTTTCTTTAAAGTTTGTTTTTTATATTAATATAGATGCACAGCTTGCATTCTATTAGTATTTTCTTGATGCATTACTACGTAGTCCATTAATGTCAATCTTTCTTCTCCTATGTTTGAACAGTGTACTTGACAAATAATTCATGTACCTTACAATTCAATGGCTTAAATATGTTAAAACAGTCGTGAAATCATTATGACAATCAATTTTAAGACATTTTCTTCCTTCTAGTACCTATTATTATGAGTTCACCTTTCCTCCACTACCACTCCTAGTAAGGAACTATTAATCTATTTCTTGCCTCCATAGATTTAGCTATCCTGGATTAAATAGAAAGAAATTCATATTTAAAAAACCCACAAAAGTCAACAAAAACGAAACAGAAAAACCTCAATCACAGAGAAAGGAGAAAATAATAGAAAGCAGAAAAATAATTAAACATGGGTCAAAGAAGAGAATAAATGATAATAAGTTAACTTTTAACATAACTATATCTGCTTCAACCTTACAGTCCCCCATATGCGACAGAGTGAAACTCGGCCGGGTCCTGCACCAGCCTCACAACTGTTCTTATGTCAGGCTTCATGTTCACAGTGTCAGTCCTTCTTGCCAAAAGCCTTCCCCTTGTGCACCACTCGGCTGCTTTACCAAGCACAGTATCCTTTCCAGAGAGTAGTCGCTCCTGAACGTCAATCTATTTGCTTCGTTAATTTAGCTCTCTCTCTCAAAATAGTTTGCAACTCATCGAGCTGTTTTAAAACTCTTCCTCCTCTGGACACCTACACATGTTATGTTTTGTTTCTAGTAGTTTTATGACCATATAGCTCACATACCATGACAGCTACTCATTCAAAGTCTATATGTCAAATAAAACCCACGATCAGAAGAGGGAATCACATTAGAGTGTAAATTCTGAGCAGCTGGTTTGCCGCAGCCTGTGGATCCCAGTAACATCCATTTGCAGAGCCCTCCTATGGATAAGCCTCCAGTGAATTTCCTCTGCCTCATACCTCAACCATCTCACTGCCAGTGAGTCGATGCAGACTGACTCAGTCGCCCCATAAGACAGGGTAGGACTGCCCTAGGGAGTCCATGCTGACTTCTTCTACTTCATAGAGTATATGACCATGTCCCTTTGAAAATGGTTGCTGTCAATTCCGGCTCATATGAACCTAAGCACCACCGTAGGAAACACGGCCCTCTCCTGCGTGATCCTCGCGACCAGTGCCTTGTCTGCGCTTGTTGCTGCAGCCCCTGTGCAAACCCTCTCATCACCGGTGTCCTTCTTCCTGCTGACCCTCTGCATTCGGTAGGGACTGGCCTCTCCTGCTAACACGTGCAAAGGATGGGGGAAGTGCCGCCGCTCTCTGACTTATCTGGATGGAGCACTCTGGCTGTACTTCTCCCAAGACAGAATGTGCTGGTTCCGGCAGTCCATGGTATAGTCAATATTCTTCATCAACACGTAATTTAAAGCACCTGCTCTTCCTTATTCATTGTCCAGCTTTCACGTGCCTATGGGGCCACTGAAAATGCCACCGCGTGGGTCAGGTGCACCTTAGTCTCCACAGCGAGTTTTTTGCTTTTAACATTTAGAAAAGAGAGATTGTTTGATTTCCGCCTGCAGCTTCCTTGGGTATTGATGGCAGGTCCCAGTAAAATGAAGCCTTGGACAGCTTCAGTATATTCTCTGCTAACCGTTACCTTGCTTATTGGCCCCGATGTGAGGGTTTGGGGTTTGTTACTGTTGAGGTATAACCCATACTGAAGACTATTGCCTTTCATTTTGTTAGTAAGTGGGTCAAACCCTCTGCACTTTCTTTTCTTATTTTTAATCATTTTATTGGGGGCTCATACAACTCTTATCACCATCCATCCATCCATTGTGTCAAGCACATTTGTATATTTGTTGCCATCATTATTCTCAAAACATTTGCTTTAAAAAAAAAAGCCATTTGCTTTCTACTTGAGCCCTTGGTATCAGCTCCTCATTTCCCCCCTCCCTGCCCACCCTCTCTCATGAACCCTTGATAATTTATAGATTATTATTATTTTGTCATGTCTTACCTGTCCGACGTCTCTCTTTTCTGTTGTCCGTCGTCTTTAATCACGGGTTGTAAACAAGTCTTCTCTAAATCTGAGGCCGTATTCTTCATACAGCCAGCTCTCTAACCATTTTCTTAGCATCCAAATGGAGTAAGTATGGTGCAATTCCTGACTTTAAACAGTATGGTATCTTCTATATGTTCAAATTACTGCTTCTTGGTCTATGCACAAGTTCTGCATGAGCACAATTAAGTGTGCTTGAATTTCCATTCTTTGAAATGCTATCCATCATTTCTTTTGATCCACACAGTTGAATGCCTTTGCCTAGTCCATCTTTCTGGTCATCTCTGCTTTGAGTCAGCATCTACCTTCCACCAACATAATATTCTTCGCCTCTGCGGCCTCTTCTAAATCTGGCTTGAGTTTCGGGAAGTTCCTTGGTGATGTACTGCTGTAAACATTTTAAAATTATCTTTCAGCAAAATTTTCAGGTGATATTAATGATATTGTTTGACAATTTCTACATTTTGTTGCATTTTATTTTTTTGGAGTGGGCATAAAAATGGATTTCTTTCAGTTGAACAGAAATTTTCAAAGAGAAAATGGAGAAGACACAGTAAAGTATTATCATGAAATGTGCAAAGATCTGGAGTTAAAAAGCCAACCTCAGTAAACGTCAAGCTAAAAGAACTGAGGAAAAACTCAAGCCTCAAGTTTAACTGTTGAAGGATTCTATGGGCAAAATATTGAACGATGCAGTAAGCATTGAAAGAAGATGGAAAAAATACACAGAGTAACTTTACCATAAAGAACTGGTTGATATTTCAAGAGGTAACATATGATCAAGAACCCTGGTACTGAAAGAATGCCAAGCTGCCCTGATGGCATGAGCCAAAAAAGGCCCCAGGAATGGACTACCAATAGAAATGGTTCAACAAGCCGATGGAGTGAATGGGAAGCCCTCACTCGTCCATGCCAAGAAATGTGGAAGCTACCTGACCAACACTGGGAGAGCTCTGTGTTTGTACTCCTTCCAAAACAAGGGGACCCAACTGAATGTGGAAATTATTAAACAGTATCATTAATATCACGTGCAAATAAAACTTTACCTAAGATCATTCAACAATATTTACAGGGACCAAGAGGTAGTTGTTCAAACATAACAAGGGAATGAGTTGGTTTAAAATGTGAAAATGTGTGTGTCAGAATTGTATCCTTTCACCATACTTACTCAATTTATATGCAGAGCAAATAATCCGAGAAACTGGACTCAGTGCAGACTTCGACATCAGGACATCAGGATCGGAAGAAGGCTTGTTAACAAGCTAGAAAGACTTGAAGAACTTGCTGATGAAAATCAAAGACTTCAACCTCCAATATAGAGGACAACATAGTATAAGAAAATGCAAACCCTCACAACGGGCCTCCGACAATGTCATGATAAATGGAGAAAAGATGGAAGTTGTCAAGGCTTTGATCCACAATGAACATTTATGAAAGCAGTAGTCACAACATCAAAAGATGTGTTGCCCTGGGCACATCTGATGCACAAGAGCTCTTTAAAGTGTTGATAAGTGAAGATTAAGCTCTACCTGACCCAAGCCATGATATTTTCAATGGCCTTATATGCACAAGAAAATTGGACAATGATTAAGAAAGACCACAAGACTATGAACTATAGTGCTGGTGAAGAATATTGAACATATCATGGACGTCAAGAAAAACAAACAAATCTGTCTTGGAAAAAGTATAGCCAGAGTGCTCCTTAAAAGCAAGGATGCGAAACCCAAATGAAGGCTGAGCATGATAGTGGGACAAGACGTAAGTAAAAGGAAATAGAGGAAAGAACTAGGAGGCAAGGGCATTGATAGAGGTCTAAATACAGGCATGTACATATGTAAATATACTTATATATGATAATGGGGAAATAGATCTAAGTGTATATATCTATAGGTTTAGTATTAAGATAACAGATGGACATTGGGGCTCCACTTAAGCACTCCCTTAACGCAAGAACACATTGTTCTATTAAACTGCCATTCCATGATGCTCACCTTCCTGACATGATCGCTGAAGACAAATGGGTGCATAAGCAAATGTGGTGAAGAAAGCTAATGGTGCCCAGCTATCAAAAGATATAGCATCTGGGGTCTTAAAGTCTTGAAGATAAACAAGCAGCCACCTAGCTGAGAAGCAACAAAGCCCACATTAAAGAAGCACAGCAGACTATGTGATCATGAGGTGTCGATGGGATTGGGTATCATACACCAAAGAACAAAAAATCATATCATTGTGAATGAGGGGGAGTGCACACTGGGGACCCAAAGCCCATCTGTAGGCAACTGGACATTCCCTTACAGAAGGGTCATGGGGAGGTAACGAGCCAGTCAGGGTGAATTGCAGCAACAATTAAACGTAACTTTCTTCTAGTTCTTAAATGCTTCCTCCCCACCACTATCATGATCCCAATTCTACCTTACAAATCTGGCTAGACCAGAGGATGTACAATGGTATGGATAGGAATTGGAAACACAGGGAATCCAGGACAGATGAACCCCTCAGGATCAGTGGTGAGAGTGGTGATACTAGGAAGGTGGGATAGAAAGGGGGAACCAATTACAAGGATCTACATATAACCCTCTTCCTGGGGGACAGACAACAGAAAAGTGGGTAAAGGGAGATGTCGGACAGTGTAAGACATGACAAAATAATAATTTATAAATTATTAAGGGTTTGTGAGGGAAGGGAGGTGGGGTGGGAGGGGGGAAAATGAGGAGCTGATACCAAGGGCTCAGGTAGAAAGCAAATGTTTTGAGAATGATGATGGCGACAAATGTACAAATGTGCTGACACAGTGGATGATGTATGGATTGTGATAAGCACACCAGTCCCCAATAAAATGACTTAAAAAATAAAAAGCAAGGATGGTGAGATGTTGTCTCATACTTCAGACACGTTATCAGGAGCTATCAGGGAGAGGACGTCATGCTTCGTACCAAGGAAGGTCAGCAGGCTCAAACATAAGATCCACTGTGAGCGTGGCCCAGGACTGGGTAGTGCGGATTCGCATAGGGTTGCCATCAGTCTGAACTGACTTGACATCTAGCAAGAACACTTTTCTTTGGCTCATGTAGATTTTTGTTTTGCCTTTCTTCAGCTTCAACTTGAACTTGCATATATGAGCTATTGTTGGTCGATTCCATCCCGCCTTGTTCTGACTGACGATGTTGAGCTTCTCCAATAGCTCTTTTCACGCATGTAGTCAAGTGAGTTCCTCGCCTTCCATCGGATGCAGTCCAGATGTAGAGCTGTTGAAAAAATCCATTTCTAATGAATTGGCTGTTGCTCTTGCAAAATTCCATCATGTGATTTCCAGCATGGTTTCTATCAGCAAGGCCTTATTTTCCAACTACCAATTATCCTTTCCCCCCACCTCCAATTTTCCCTTTCCACTCACCAGCAATTATCAATGCACCTTGTTTGCGTTGACAAATGTTTGATTAATGTCAGCCTGCAGACTTTGTGAACATCCTCCATTTCTTCCTCTCAGCTACCAGCTGTTGGTGCATACATTTGAATAGTATTTGTATCGACTGCTCTTCCTTGTCGGGATGGAGCTATTGCCGGATCACTGGCAGTGTCCACTTCAGGATGCATTCGGAAATGTTCTGTGTGACAACGAGGGCTACGCTATTCTGCTTCAATGTGTGATTCCTGGCACAGTAGACCAGGTGTTGGTCTGATTCCAAATGGCTAATGCCAGTCCATTTCAGTGTACTAACACTGGGATACCAATATCTATGTGTTCAAGTTTATTTTTGATGAGTGCCACTTTTCCTGGTGTCACACTTCCTATATCCTGATTCTACTTGATGCTTACAGGTGTTCCTTCCCCTTTTCTGTTGTGCCTCCTCAGCAAGTGAAAGCCCCCAAAGCTTTCCCCCCTCCATATTATCATTAAGGCCCACTTACTTTGAAGAGCCAGCTCTTCCTGTCAACAATTTTTTGGGGGGAATTCCATTATCTGTTCATTCCATTTCTGAGTGCACTTCAGCGTAAGGCACTCAACTTCAGGCACTGATGACGGCTCTGCTCTGACGCAGATGGTTTCCACAGGCCAGGTTGTTCAGAAGTATCCCACTAGGTCCTTTCTTCTAGTCTGTCTTCATCTGGAAGCCCCGCTACCTTCTGCTACCATGGGTGACCCTGCCGGTGTTTGCAATCCCAGTGGTATAGCGTCCAGCATCACAGCAACATGCCAGCCAGCACGCTATAGTGAACTGGCAGATGCAGGGTGCATTTTGTAAATGTTTATATATTTTTGAACTTTTTTTATTTTTAACTGGGTGAAGGTTTACAGAGCAAATCAGTTGTCCGGTTAACAATTCACAGATATTTTGTTTGATCTCGTTGATTTCAGTCCCCACAATGTATTACCATGTATCCTACTTCCTCCCTGTGCTGCCTGTTTCCTGTCTCTCTTCTTCCCTAACCCTGTGAGCTTTGTCCTGGGGGTAAATACTGCCCTTCCAGCTCATGTTTGATTCTTCTCAGGTGCTCCCCTTATAGACCTTTCTATTGCTTGGCTGAAAATGGAGCCATGGGGGTGAGTTCATTTCCAGACATGAAGGGCCATAGATTTGGGGGTTCCACCAGTCTCCATCGGACCAAGAAGCCTGGTCTTTTTAACGAGTTTACATTTTGTTCCACATTTTCCTCCCAATATATATATATGCAGGATCCTCTAATGTAATCAGTTTCAAAGCAGTTGATAGCTGTAACTGGGCACTATCTAGTTCTTCTTTTAACATTTGTATCTCTACTTATCTTGGAACAATAAAGACCTTAGACTGCTTTAAGTTTGATCACTATCTTTCTGGGTTATGTGGAATTACTGAATACTATTCTGAATATAGGGAGCCCTGGTGGTATAGTGGTCATGCGTTGGGTCAACAGTTGGAAACCACCAGTAGCTCTGGGGGAGAAAGACTGGATTTTCTACTCCTGTAAGCAGTTAGAGTCTCAGAAACTCATAGGGGGTCACTATGAGTCAGCATTGACTTGATGGCAGTGAGTTCTTTAAAAAAATTTTTAGTTATTATGAATATTGTTATATCTATCGAACTAGTTGTAATTCGTTTTGCTTAGATGGTTAATACTCAATTAGATTTCTGTGCCCATCTGCATTTCTTTCATTTTGCACCTTCCTCTGGGTTCAATCAATTTCTTCATATCCTCTCTGTTTCCCTACAAAGATGTTTTGGTTTCTACCTCATTCTTGAGTGACAGTTGAACTGGATGTAGGTTTTAGATCGACAGTTGCTTCCCTTCCACTTTTGTGTTGCGACTGAGAAGCGCAGTATTAATCTGCTGTTCTGTCCGGTGTAGTTGCTTTTAATACTATCTTTATGATGTTTTTGCTGTTGGAGTCTGCATTTTATATCTTGCTTAAATGCCGTACACACCACGGTTCTAAATAGATGCTGCTATATATTTGTCTAACATGGAATAGTTGCATTGCTTGCCTTTCTCCTGATGGAGGAAAAGTTCACGCTCAGCCCTCGTCCCGCAGTGCCCTTGTGGAGTGGAGTGAATGTTGCCGGTGTCCCTCTGAAGACTCTGAACCCTCATTTAGGAACTGACGCAGACAAGGAAAACTGGAAAAGTGTCCACAAAGAAGTGATCAGCAGGTAACAAGACTTCAGCATTTCCTTAGTACTTTAATAATTAGGCCTAAGAACACACTTTACAGATGAAAGTCTATAACTAATCTTTGCTATTTGTGAAGTTAATAAATAACTTCAGGTTCTTGAAAATTCCTAAATTCAGACTTTTTTCGTGCACAACTTTCTTTTAGGAGTTTTTGACAACAGAAAAGCCTTTGTTGTTGTATGAGAACTACAATGTATACGAGAAGTAATATGGCAGAATGATCACAGACAGGACTTTGAGCCAGATTGGCTTTATCATTTAGTAGTAGTAGTTTGATCTTAGGAATTCACCTAAAAGATTAAGAGTGTAGTTTCCTCATCGTTAAGTAGAGATAATAATCAGCCTACCACAGAGGGCTGCTAGGAAGATGAGCTAGGTTGGAACCTGCAGGATGCTTTGGACAGTGTCTGTTGTTTATCAGGAGCTCATCATTAGGACTTGATGATGAGAAACATGCAGCTGCTGCAGCTGATCAAAGGCAACTGGGTTTGCATATTAATGAAGCTTCTGACTTGAATACATCAGCAGACCTAATTCTCTTTCGTGTTTTAGACAAGCTGTGTCTTAGTAGAAGTTGTTGAACTTAGGAATCACTTTTGAATATTCAAATTTGGGATTTGAAACCTATAAAAGCAAAATCCTACTAAAGTTCTCTACTAACAACCTTATGTAATTGTGTAAGAATTAGTGCAGAGGCGAAAAAGGCAACCAATACACAAAAAAGTGCCTGTAGGTAAGTTTTTATTCTCTAAATGTATTTTCTTATTCTAAAAATCCATGGTGACAATATCGTGAGTTCAGCCCGACAGTCGCGCTCTCGGAAGGCAGTAGGCTCTGTCGAACTGGTGTCTTCGTTCTCCAGGTCTGCTCTCCTGGAAATGCCATGGTGCGTGCCTTCCACGGACAGGAACACATTTGCTCACAGTCTTAGAACTCCAAATTCAGGGCCAGCTGTTTGTGGTAAAAATAAGTGCATTCAGAAAAGTAGGAAGAGGATAAAATGCCCTGTATACCAATCACTCAACATGATCACTATTAATAACATGGTCGGTGGATGCAATTCTAAAGTTCCTATAAAAACTTACATTTTTGAGACTGAGATTTTAAAAGCATGTATGTTTAGGGTTGTGGGGTTTTCCTTTGAAAATATAGTATGAACATATTCCCATGCCTACTTGTCATTGGTAACATAAGTCTTGAGACACAATGCTTACAAGTATATAACATTACATTGGCCACAAAGTAACAATTAGAAATGGTCCAGATTGGTATCTGGTAACTTTTAAGATAAAACACTATGTTTGAATAGTTAAGCAAAGTTACAGAAAATATTAAAATCTAGTTTCGTCTTGAGTGGCCTTGATGTTGAAAGAAAGATGAATTAATTGTTATTTAGAGGGAATAGTGAAGTTTATGAGCAGAGTATCTTCTATTGCTTGTTCATAAATTATTTCTAGAAGGAATCTTTGAGAAAATCTTAATAGAATGCTGCAAAATAGAGATTTGAAAAATATTTTCCCTGTGGTGACTTCTTTTGAATTTGATTTCTGCTGTTGTTCATAAATAGTATTTATTCAAGTCATTTTTTTAATTGTGATAAAAAGTGGTAACAATTTATTTCCACAATCTTCACATGTATGTGAATCTAAAATCAGATTTTATTTTATTCTCTACAATAAAATTATTTTCTAATTATTTTCTACAACTATAGTGCTTATGAAATTATCAAGATGAAAGGGTACACCAACTGGGCTATTGGACTGTCTGTGACAAATTTGGCATTATCAATTCTGAAGAATCTTCGGAGAGTGCATCCAGTGTCCACTGTTGTTAAGGTAGGCACAAACCCGAATCTCCACTCATCGTTGTTTCCTGTCATATTTACTGCACGCCTGCTAAGTGATAAGCATTCTGCAAGATGGTTAGGGTATAGTACCGAGAAAAGAGGACAGAGGTCCAGTCCTCCTAGAACGGAATGAGAGGAATGGATTCATGGAACCATGACAAAAGTAAGCATGGAAGAGCACGTTTCAATAAGGGCGATGATAAAAAACTACAGCACCCTAACCATACACAGTACTCTGGGGAGGGGACAATGGGTGGTGGCTAGGGAAGACTTCTTCAGGGTGTAAAATGTGATCTGAAATATGAATAATAAATAGGAGTTAATTTACAAGGATGGACTGATATTCTAAGAAGAAGGAATACATGTGCAGAGAATCTGAGGTGGATTAGAGTCCAGGACCCATTTGAAGAGATATGAAAACATAGAATACTGAAGTGCAGAGAGCAAAGAAAAGAGGGCATTTGTTAAGGCTGAAGAAGTAAACAGCAGTTAGGCCACTGAAAGCCTTAAAACCAGTTTGGGTCTTTACCATAAGAGCAATAGAAAGCCATCAAAGGGTTTTAAACAAGGGAATTACAAGTTTGTGTTAGTGATAGAACAGATTTGAAGGGGATGAGAATAGATGTGGGGAGACTTGCTAAGAGGTTCTGCAGTTTCTCGGAACAGTGAGGATAGTACTAGTAGAAGTGAGGAGAAGGGAACAGATTTGCATTCCATTATATTACATCTGCCGTGGAAGAGTGCAGCCAGAATGCTCCTTAAAAGCAAGGATGGCAAGATTTCGCCTCATGCACTTTGGACATAAACAGGGGTAACCCTCCAAAACCGGAATTGCGCTGGGTAGAGTGGAACTTTCGTAGTATGCGTTTTCCCTGCTAGGCAAGCATCTAGCAACCTTTTCTGAGTTAGTGCACCCAGTGGCGTTGCCTGGGAAGGTTCTCTCTGGACACAGTGAATTTTTTCGTAAGCAGTTTTGCTTGAACCTTGTTCTTTGTGATGGCCGATTTAAGAGAACAGCATGTGGCTGTGAAATTTTGTTTCCTGTTTGGGAAAAATGCCGCAGAAACTGTTGTGAGGTTGAACACAGCTTACAGGGACAGCACTTTAGAGAAAGCTCAAGTGTAAGAGTGGTTTGCTCATTTCAAAAAGGTGAAATGTCGCTTAATGACAAACCTCATTCTGGACATTCCCAAATGGATGAAAATGTCGACTCAGTGCATTTGATGTTTGTTCTACCAGATCAGACTGTTAATCACACTTTTTATTTAGAAGTTCTGAAAAGATTGCATAACCAGTGTGTGACTAAAAAAGGCCCGATTTGGGGCAGACAGGGGACTGGCTTTGCCACTATGACAATGCCATTTGCTCACGCAGCCATCTCAGTGTGCCTGTTTTGAACAAAAACACTGTGCCTCTCCTGCCCCATGAACTGTACTCACCTGACCTCACTCCTTAAGACTTCTTTTTGTTTCTGCAAATGCAAAGAGACATGAAAAGACAGTGATTTGATGATGTAGAAGAGGCAAAGAAAAAAATGAGCGAGGTGCTGTGCTGTCAGCCATCCAAACAGATGAGTTTGGAAAATGTTTCCAAGAATGGAATTGCAGAATTGGCAAATGTATTAGGTGTAATGGAGAGTACTTTGAAGGTGATATAAAGGTTGTTGTGAAAATTTTTTTTTAATTGCATAGCTTAAAAAAAAATCCATTTGTGGGGGGATTATCATATTATCAGGAGAGATCAGTCCCTGGAAAAGGACATCATGTTTGGTAAAGTGGAGGGGCAGTGAAAAAGAGGAAGCCCCTCAATGAGATGGACTGACCCAGTGGCTGTCACAATGGGCTCAGCCATGTGTGACCACGGTGAGGATGGTGCAGGACTGGGCAGCGCTTTGTCCTGTTGAACACTAGGGTTGCTATGACTCAGGACTGACTCAGCACCCCTAACAGCAGCAACACACTTAGGAGATAACCTTCCGAGGTTTGGGTAATGGGGTGAAGTGGGGATTGATGAAGGGACAGGTCAGTTCTTAGGGTTTTGTTTGTACAGTTAGATATACTATCACTGACTGTGTAAGGAGCTACTTGAAGAGAGCCAAGTTTGAAGGACATACTTGCAGTTTACAGATGAGTTGAAGTTCATGTGCCTTGAAGGCACTCAAGGAGAAATAGTAGGAGACAGTTTTGTGCAAGTTTGGGAGAACTCATCAAACAGTTTTGGGTTTGAGTTGAACATGAACATGAGCACTGACAGAAGAGATGCTAAACAGGCAAAGACAACAGATGTCCCTTACAGGTGTTAACTGTACGCAATGAATTTTAATAGGCTTGCCTAGGGAGAATGTAGAAAGCTCAATAAAGATTGAGATTGGCCCTTAAGGAATTCAGTATTTAAAAGTGGAATTCATAATGTGAATTCACAAAGGTGACCAAGAAGTGGCAGCCTGAGATGAAAAGAAACAGGAGAATATGGAATCAGGAGAAGCCAACGACCGGAGAACGCTTTCAGATGCAGGGATGATCTGCAGTTGCCGGAGGAGAACTCCTGTAAAACGAGAAGGCAGGATGCCTGTGGGACACAGGGACTGCAGTCAGTGGTGGTCTCCGTCGGGTCTGCGGGGTGAAGGGAGTGAAAACCTGATTGGAGTGCACTAGGTTTTTGAACCTTGGCATTATTGAGGATTTAGGCCAGCCGGTTCTTTGTTTTTCAGGCAGTCAGATGTTATCAGCCTCTATCCATTAGCTTTCTGTGGAGTGCCTTCCCCACCCTAAGAATCGAAAATATGTCCAGAGGTGGTTAAATCCGCCTCTTACTGCCATTGAGTTGATTCTGGACCCACAGTAGCTCTAGAGGACAGAGCAGACCGCTCCTTTGAGTTTCCCACGCTGCAAGTCTTTATGGGAGTAGTAACCGTGGGATTACTAATTGTAAGAGACACAATACAGACCATCCCTCCTGTTTTGAGGACACAAGGTCTCTTAGTTTCTTAGGGCCTTCAGAACACCCACTCTGTGGTGACCTGAAAGAGCATGGCTCTGGTGGCTCGAGTCCAAGTGAGGGCCTTGGCCTTGGCGATTCTCACTGTGACGTCTGAGTGAGGACCTGTTCTAGGGCTCTCTTGTAGTTCCGTTTCTCCCGGCAGCCCTTGGCATTCCTTTGCTGCTGACAGAACTCCTTATGGCATTTTCTCCTGTGTGTCCGTCCCTCTGGCCACACCTGCTCTTCCCTTAGATAAGCCTTCACTCCGGGGAGGGAGGGGGGAAAATGAGGAGCTGATGCCAAGGACTCAAGTAGAAAGAAAATGTGTTGAGAATGAGGAGGGCAACCAATGTGCAAATGTGCTTGGTACAATGTATGTATGTATGGTGATAAGAGTTGTACGATTATGGATTGGGATAACAGTTCTATGAGCCCCTAATAAAATGTTAAAAAAGAAAGAAAAAAAAAGAGTTGTACGAGCCCCAGTAAAATGATTTTAAAAAGAAAAGAGCTCACTCCAGAGGGATCTGGACGAGGCCTGATATAACTTACTTGATAATATCTTCAAGGAAAGACCCTGTTTTTTCAAACAAATCCCATTCACAGATATAGAGAGGGGTTAGGCATCCACATATCCTTTGGGGGGTGGAGGACAATTCAATCTGTTCACACAGGGTAGTGTGTGGGGCGTAAGCAACTATCCCGGACTATTCCTCAGGAAAAAGTGGGCGAGGGATGGAGTGCTGTGCGGAATGACTAACAGGAATTTCATAGCTTTTACTGGACACAGCCTGTGGGTGGTTCATACCTTATAGACAATGCATAAAGGTTTGACACTAAGAGAAGAAGAATTTATTGTTGCCTGTTCTTCTGAAGTACCCTTTCTTGCATGGGGTTATTTTTTCCCTGTCATGTAAGTGTATTCATGTCACGTGCACATCACATGCCGACTTTTATCTTTCAGGGCCTTTATGGAATAAAAGAAGACATTTTCCTCAGTGTCCCTTGTGTCTTGGGGCGGAATGGGGTATCAGACATTGTGAAAGTTAACTTGAGCCCCGAGGAGGAGGCCCTTTTTAAAAAGAGCGCAAAAACACTGTCCAGTATCCTGAAGGACCTTGAATTTTAAAGCCTTTTCATGCGCCATGGTTCTGAAGAACAGAAGAGAGCAGATGGTGTATCTCACATACTGGAAGCACCTTTATCTGTTTTGTAAAAAATAAAAAAATAAAAAGTGTGACCTATGACACATGGCTCATACAATTAGAAAAATGGAATGGTGAAAAAGATTTTCCTCCATTATAAATGCCACTCACTCTACAAAGGGTACATATAACCTTTACAGATTTAAAATACGCGCCCCCCCGCGCCCCCCCCCCCAGTGTGCCAGATGTGTACGAATTGCTTTCAGCTTCAGCAGGATCTGCTGCTGCTGCTAGACCCCCAGTCCATTCCAACTCAGACCGCGTGTGGCAGAACAGACCTGCCCCATAGGATCCTGGGGCCGTCTTTTTCCCCCTTAAACTTATTGTGACTGAAGTGGAGATTTACAGAGCACATCATGGGTGTGTGTAAGGGATTCCACCAATCTCTAGTTGACCAGTAAGCCTGGCATTTAAAAAAAATCATTTTTTTGTTTCACCTTTTCTCCCATATAATTTATAACTATGTCAGTGGTTCTCAACCTTCCTAATGCTGAGACCCTTTAATACATTTCCTCATGTTGTGGTGACCCCCCCTCAACCATAAAATGTTTTTTGTTGCTACTTCATAACTGTAATTTTGCTACTGTTATGAATCTGGCAACCCCTGTGAAAGCATCATTCGACCCCCAAAGGGGTCGAGAACCACAGGTTGAGAACCACTAGTCTATGTGATCTCTTTTGGAACAATTGGTAATGGTGGCCGGGCAGCCTCTATCTCTGCGTATTTCAGGGTCACAAAGACTAATGTTGGTTGGTACAGTCCATCAGCCTACTTGTTCACATGTTTCTTTGACGTTCACCATTCTTTTTGCCTCTGGACGCGGAGAGCCCGGTAGTTGTGCCTTAGATGACCCTTTAAGACCCCAGCTGCTACTGGCCAAAATAGAATGTAAAACCTGACCTTGTAGACTGGGCTATATACCGTGGTGTCCCTTGACTATGATCCTAGTCCCCCAAGTCCAACGACTCTTGCTTCCAAAATATATGGTCACATCTTCATGCTCTTTGCAGCAAGGGTAAATCTCATGTACAATCATTTTCTGTCAAACCTCTCTGTGGGCATCCTCCTGGCACCCATTCTGCCTGCATGTCTGTCTATGCATCACCATGATTGCAGGATTGTTCTCGATTGTCTTTAACTCCAGCCCGCCTCCCAGGGCTCCCCTTGTCTCGGAAAGGGCTGCTCCCCCCTGGTCGTATTTTGAACGCCTTCCAACCTGAGAGGCTGCTCTTCCCACACGCACCACAGCCGACGCTGTGGCTGAGGTTTGCAGTAGGTGAGGCAGGAGCGACAGCTTATTCCTTCTTGCCCGTCCGCTCTGACTGTGGACAGGCCACTGAAACCTGTTCCCTAGGGGGGTGACCCTACTGCTATTTGAAAGAGCGTCATCGCAGCAACATCACACAACACATTAAGACACAGGAACAGATGAGTCATTGTCCTTGTGCCCAGAACATTTTTTTAATTGTTTTTTCAACTTCAGCTCACACATGGGGTGGTAAAAGACCCATTTCTCCATCAACCCTGGCGAGTCAACAAGCCCTTAATAGCCCACTCGGTGTCGTCTTAATTGCACACTGCAATTCAGACAAGGTCTGATAGAAACATTTTCTTGGCAGTGCTGGATTGCGCCCACTTAATGGGTCCCTGCGAGCAGATCCTCCCTTCAAGGTGCCTGCTACACCGTGTGAACTTGAAACCTTCGGGGACGGAAGCTGGCTGACCTTAGAACCCTCAGTCGCCCACTCAGAGGGGTCACAGCAGGCGTGGAGACAGGCCGGCCAGCACGCGCTGGCGCGTCCTGTGCGCAGGCGCAGGGCGGGGGCTTGTGCGCAAGCGCGGGGGGGCTTGTGCGCAGGCGCGGGGCGCAGGGCGGTGGCTTGTGCGCAGGCGCGGGGCGCAGGGCGGGGGCTTCAAACGGCCAACGGCTGCGGGCGGCGGCGGAGTAACGACCGGCGCCTCCGCCGTGCCCTCTTCCTTCGTCGCCGGCGCCATGAGTTGGGCTGCGGGAGTCCTACGGAGCAGCAGGGCCGCGGGGGCGCACGCCCTGTGCCCGGGGCTGGCCCTGGGTGCCCTCCGCGGGGCGTGCACGCCGCTCCGGGCCGGCTGGCCCTGGGTCCCCGTGAGTGCGGCCGGAAGTTGCTCGCGCCTGCCTGCCCCAGGGCCTGCTCCTCGGAGGCCGCCCCGGAGCAGAGAGCCGCGGGGAGGTTGGGGTGGGGGTGGCGGGGTGGCCGAGCTAGGGAGAGGAGGGCCATCCCGCTCGTGTGGGCCTCGGCCCCGTTTCCTCCCCCGCCGCCCTTGATTGTAGCTGCCTTGCGCCTCCCGCCCACTTCCAGCCCCAGCCCCTGCTCTGCATACCGGGCTCCTCACCACGGACAAGCCCCACACCGGGAAACGTGGACCGGCCACCGTTTGAAGACGCTGTTTCTGTTCACTGTTAGGTGTCCCAGATGGCAACGTTGAAGTGTGAGCTTATTAAGAACATTACGACAGAGAAAGTCGTTCAGCACAATAAGATCTCTATTGTAGGGACCGGATCCGTTGGCATGGCCTGTGCGATTAGCATCATACTCAAAGTAAGTTACGCGCCCTGTGCCATGGGTTAGCTGCATAGCGTTGTTTGTGGCCAGTTCTTTGGGTAAGTGAGGGCCCTCCCCAGCCTCTGTGGATTTAGCCTGAAGACCACATCACCTTTCTTAGCTGCTCTAACCAGAAAGGTCTGTCTGAAAACGTGCTGACACTTGATCATGTGATGACAATGTGAGAGGTATGCCCTTGTGTGACAAGGAGCCTCAGTAAAAAAGTACAGTGATAGTAGGTGTCATGCTAATACCAAATGCAATCATCTTTTTAAAAAGAAACACTCTTCCCTTAATTTTTTTAATATACTTATTTTAATCATTTTATTGTGGGCTCTTACAGCCTTCCATACATCAATTGTATCAAGCATATGTATACATATGTTGCCATCATCATTTCTAAGTATTTATTTTCTGTTTGAGCCCTTGATATCAGTTCCTCTTTTTCCCCTCCTTCCCCCCCACTCCTGCTTTCCTATTCTATTTACCTTCCTGCTTCCTGCCAGGTTAGTTTTAGGTTGTAGTTGTATTTCGTATTGCTGTAGCTGGTAATGGCTAGACACAGGACTAAAGGATCCCCTTCTAAGACTATTACCCTGATCTGAGCCCACACAGTTTTAATACATAGTAATAAGTGTTTCGAATGATACTTAACGTTTATCTTAAATGGACTGTAAGAATTCTGTAAGCTTTTAGTACCAGCATGATTCATTGAGTTTAAAGGGTTGCATCTGGGGTCAGCCATTGTGCTGACCAGTCCGGAATTCCGCCTTGCTCACGTGTCCTACCAACTGTAATGCCTTTATCGGTGGTGTCCTCTTGCAAATGAATAAGCCACATTAATAACATCAATGTGCTTTAGATAACAGTATGTGATTCAACCATCTTGAAAAGTAAGTATTAGATTTACTTTATAAAGCAGGAAAAAAGGGCACAGGTGATCTTAAATTGCATGAACAGGTAAGGATACAGAGAACGTGGATAAGAAAACTTGACATAAATGAGAACTTGGCTATCCCTGCTTTGAAGGAGCTTTCTGGGACAGACTGAACCTCCTCCTTAAGAGAAGGTAAGAACCACAAACTTCTAGACCTTGAATTTCTGTTATGCAGCAAGCCACGGCATTGATAGATTTTAGCTCTGGTGCACCATCCTCCTGCAAAGCCCCCAAATTAGGGCTCCCTCCTCCCTCTCCCTACCCTGGTCCTGGAAGGCCTGAGGGTACAAATGGTTAATGTGCTTGGGTACTAACCCAAAAGGCACCTACCTACCCAGCGGCTCTTGAGAACAAAAAGGCCAGGTGATATACTTCTGAAAAACCAGCCCTGGAAGACCCTGGGAAGCACAGTTGTACTCTGACCTGGGGTCCCCAGGAGGGGGAACTGACTCCGCAGCAGTGGTTTGGTTCTTCTGGTCCTAGACCTGCAACTTCTTTCTTTCAGAGAGGTGGATCTCTTAAACCCATAGCTAGTAAAGAAGACGTTCTTATGGGTCATTTGTCTGTAGGAATTTATGCCATGAACCTTGGAGAAAAAAGACCAATATCTTGAAATTACTGAATTATACTGGAACACACGATCTTTGGTGGCTATAATGTGAGCCCATCAGAGCAAGGATCTTTGCTTTTCCAGCTGTACAGTGCTGGATGCCGAGGGGTATAGTGAGCACTTAGTAGCTGAATGAAAGAATTGCTGAAAGACAAATGCATGTTTAAAGGGAAAAAGCACTAGATGGAAAACACAAAGATTGACTATTTTACTCACTTTTTTTCTTATAAAGAAGAAAATGAAGAGCCTGAGAGGTTAACTGAGCTAGAATATAATTTTATACCTCTGAGTAGAAATCAGCTCCACAGCAATGGGTTTGGTAGTTCAAAATAGTGGAAGGCATTTCCTCAAAGTAAACTCTCTATATCCATCAATCTCTCTATCAATATCTACCTATAGATATGTTTATATCCTTCAATAGCTACAGTTTGGTAAGATATTGGTAGATTGATAGATAAAAATATGTGAGGTATATAACTAATTTTATTCATCTAAAGAACTCAACTAAAACATACTGTGGAGTACCAGCTTTACTTAAAATTTTGTTGTAGATGAGGAGTGAAAAATGCCAAATATATTGTGGGGGAAAATGTAAACTGCACAAAATTTTAAGTGGGAAAAATACAATTTAAAGAAAAATGGTTTTATAGAATGTTTGACATCATTAGATTGAGAAGATACTACAGAGTTCATATATACTCTTATTACCTTACATTAGTATGGTACATTTGTCACAACCAATATTAATACATTATGATGAGCTAATCTAATAAATTAATAATTCCTCAGCGTTTACCTAGTGTGCTGTTTGTTTCAGGATTCCATCCAGGACACAGCATCATACATTTAATTGTTATGTCTCCTTAGCTTCCTCTTGGCTGGGACAGTTTCTCAAACTCGCCCTTTAAAAATTTTTTCAATTTATTTCATAGCGATTATTATTGAGAGCATACACAGCAAAACATGGACCATTTCAATAGCTTCTACACGTTCAATTTGATGACACTGATTACAGCGTTACCCTCAAATTGCTCAAGTTGCTTTTGCCAATTTGATCCTCTGTAGATCTTTAAGGAGCGCAATGTGCAAGGCCTTCCCTGTTTCTTGATGGTCTTCGTAGTTGTGAGGAACACTGGGGAAATATTTTGTAGATGGCACCTCTGTTGGAATCTAGTGTCTTTTCTCGGGTCTAGACTGGGGTTCTGGGATTTGGGGAGGAAGATCACAGGTAAGAAATGCCATTTCATCATGTCATATCCAGCGTACATACCATCCTGATTTATGACTGTTGATGATGACTGATCACCTGGCTAGGTCATAGTTGTCAGATTTCCACTGTGAAGTTAGTATTTCCTCCAGCTTCCCAACAGTATTCTCTGAAAGGAAGTCCTTCTGTGTAGGCCACTCTTAGGGAGTGGGGAGTTCACACTCTTCCTCCTTGAGGTTGGAGTACCTGCACAAATCACTTAGAATTCTCCATGGGAGAAGTCTGTTCTCTCCATTTATTAATTTATTCAATTGTAACAATGCATTTTTTGGTATTCTGTACTCAGGGTTATAGTATATTTCCCCCCTTAAATTATTTCAGCACTGGCCTTTAAGAGACCTTTCAGTTTGATTCCTGTGCCCCTCTCACATATTCCCATCGACGTTGGGGTTTTTTGTGGACTCTTTTGGCAATATAAAATGCTGCAGACTTACCTTGTGTATTTTTTAAAAATCATTTTATTGGGGGCTCATACAACTCTTACAATCCATACATACATCAATTGTCTATAGCACATTTGTACATTTGTTACCCTCATCATTCTCAAAACATTTGCTCTCCACTTAAGCCCTGGGCATCAGCTCCTCATTTTACTGCCTCCCTCCCTGCTCCCCATCCCTCATGAACCCTTGATAATTTATAAATTATTATTTTGTCATATCTTGCACAGTCCGACTTCTCCCTTCACCCACTTTTCTGTTGTCCGTCTCCCAGGGAGGAGATTACATGTAAATCCCTGTAATTGGTTCCCCCTTTCTACCCCAGCCTCCCAGTATCGCCACTGGTCCTGAAGGGATCATCTGTCCTGGATTCCCTGTGTTTCCAGTTTCTATCTGTACCCAGTGTACATCCTCTGGTCTAGCCAGATTTGTAAGGTAGAATTGGGATCATGATAGTGGGTGGTGGGGGGAAGCATTTAGGAACTAGAGGAAAGTTGTATGTTTCATTGTTGCTACACTGCGCCCTGACTGGCTTGTCTCTTCCCCACCACCCTTCCGTAAGGGGATGTCCAGTTGCCTACAGATGGGCTTTGGGTCTGCACTCCGCACTCCCCTCCTTCACAATGATAAGATTTTTTGTTCTTTGATGCCTGATACCTGATCCCTTCGACACCTCGTGATCACTCAGACTGGTGTGCTTCTTCCATGTGGGCTTTGTTGCTTCTGAGCTAGATGGCTGCTTGTTTACCTTCAAGCCTTTACGATCCCTGGCACCATCAGCTTTCTTGACCACCTTATGCACTCATTTGTCTTCAGCGATCATATCAGGGAGGTGAGCACACAGTGATATGATTTTTTGTTCTTTGATGCCTGATAACTGATCCCTTTAGCACCTCGTGATCACACAGGCTGGTGTGCTTCTTCGTGCCTTTTGTATGCCTTAGTGTAGAATTAGCCATTTTTCCAAGGAGCCCTGGTTTCTTTTATCGGAAATTGTTATTAGAAACCAAAATCTCGGTGCTAAGTGTTCAATGCTTCTGGGCTTTTAATAATGTTTAAAACCATCTTTCATTGATAATTTCACCGAATTTTACATAATTTTGCTCCGTACTACAATCTGAATAATCAATATTACCCAGAAATCACTAGCATCTCACTAACTGCATTTTTTTAATGACACAGATTTCCAGGCTAATCATTAAGAGTCTAGTTTTAAACTTAAGGTAGTTGGCATTGGATTTTCATCAATTAAAGTAAAGGGAAAAGATCCAACTGTATGTTGGACATGTACTTAAAGGACTGACCTTTCTAAGTACTTAGCACAGTCATTTTTTTCTTCAGAAAAATTTTGTAATGAAGCTAAGAGAACATGCAGTTAATGAAACATTTTGAAAGGATAATATATTCACTAGCTTTAAAAACAAAGGTAATGTAAAAAGATACATACCAAGAAGTCATACTCTCATCCAGTTTCAATTTACCTGTTCCCTCGACATCACCAATAAACCAAACCAAACCTGTTGCTCACGAGTCAGTTGTGACTCATGTTGACCTCATGTATGTCAGACTGGAGCAGCTCTCCTCAGGGTTTTCAAAGCTGATTTAAAACAAATTTCTTTTTGCCAGGGATAAAGGAACAACAGTGATCTAAAATCAATGGTGAGGAGAGGGTGTAGGAGGCCTGGTAGGGCTTGATCAAGGGCACTGTAATGGAGAGGAATTACTGAAAACTGAATGAAGGCTGAACATGATAGTGGGACAAGAGGAAAGTAAAAGGAAATAGAGGAAAGAACCAGGAGACAAAGGTCATTTCTAGAGGTCTAAATACAGGCATGTACATATGTAAATATATTTATATCTAAAGATGGGGAAATAGAGCTATGTACATATATATGTTAAGTATCAAGGTAGCAGACGGACATTGGACCTCTACTCAAGTACTCCCTCAATGCAAGAACACTTTGTTTTAATAACCTGGCATTCTGTGATGCTCACCTTCCTGACATGATCGTCGAAGACAAAATGGGTGCATAGCAAATCTGGTGAAGAAAGGTGGTGGTGCCAGGCTATCAAAAGATAGAGCGTCTGGGGTCTTAAAAGGCTTGAAGACACAAGTGGCCATCTAGTTCAGAAGCAACAAAGCCCACATGGAAGAAACACACCAGCCTGTGTAATCATGAGGTGTCAATGGGATCAGGGATCAGGCATCAAAGATCTGTAATAAAAAGTCCTATCAATGTGGATGAGGGGCGGGTGCAGTCGAGACCCAAAGCCCATCTGTAGACAATTGGACATCCCCTTACAGAAGGGTCACAAGGAAGAGATGAGCTAGTCAGGGTGCAGTATAGCAACGATGAACATACAACTTACCTCCAGTTCTTTAATGTTTCCTCCTGCTATCATGATCCCAATTCTACCTTTCAAATCCGCCTAGACCAGAGCATGTACACAGGTACAGATAAGAACTGGTAACATAGGGAATCCAGGATGGATAAACCCCTCAGGACCAATAATGAGAGTAGAGATACCAGGAGAGTAAGGGGGAAGGTGGAGTGAGAAAAGGAGAACTGATCACATTGATCTACATAAAACCCTTTCCCTGGGGGATGGACAACAGAAAAGTGGGTGAATGGAGACATAATCGGTCAGTGTAAGACATGAATAACAACTTATAAATTATTAAGGATTCATGAGAGATGGAAGGTGGGGGGGAAAGGGAAAAAAATATCAAGGGCTCAAGTAGAAAATGTTTTGAAAATGATGATGGCAACGAATACACAAATATGCTTGACACAATCGATGTATGTATGGGTTGTGTTAAGAGCTGATTAATTTTTTTCTTTTTGGAGTACATTGACAGACTTTTCTTCCTAGGCTCCTCAGGGTAGATTCAAACTGCCAACCTTTTGGCTAGCAGCCCAGTACATTAGATAATCACCTGGTGTAACTGTAGCAAATACAAGAAAATACAAGTATGTTACTCTTCCCTTGTTTCTTACAAACAAAATAGCTTAATGAAGTAGATATTAAAACCCAAACTCAGTGCCCCGGAGCCCATTCTGACTCGGAGTGACTATAGGACAGGGGAACTTCCCTGTGGGTTTCTGAGAGTAACTGCTGAAAGGAGCAGCTGCTTTCTTGCAGGGAGAGGCTGGCTGTTTGGAACTGGTAACCTTGTGGTCAGCAGCCAACTGAACAACTAACCACTGTCTCGCCAGGGCTCCAAAAAATATGTATAGTACAGATTAAGTGTTTTTTGCAGGTGAAAATACTTGATTATAGAAGTATTAAATTTTTAGCACTTGACAAGGGCCTTATACTATAGTTTATTAGAAATGTATTGAACGCTCGTCTAGCAGAGGGATGTGAGTAGGTGGACTACCTTCAAGGAGCCTGCAGTCTGGTGAGAGATTCCTTCTGCCGAATCCCTGTGTAGCCTGAGCTTCAATTCAGAGTGCACACTGCCTTCAGAGACAGTTCTACGTAATAGTTTGTTTTCCCATCGAAGAGGTGAAACCTTCCCCTTTGCCTGGGCTATCTCTTCCACCTTAGGTGTTCATGTCATAGTGAAGTGTTGAAAACTCGATCTCTTCGGGTTTGCTAATTCACAAGCCCAGCATAGCTTTTTTTCCATTAAAATAGTTTTATTAGGGGCTCATACAACTCTTATCACAATCCATATATACATCAGTTCTGTAAAGCACATTTGTACATTCAATGTCCTCATCATTCTCAAAACATTTGCTCTCCACTTAAGCCCCCGGCATCAGGTCCTCATCCCCCCCACCCCCCACCCCCAGCATAGCTTACCAATACAAGAATTCTCTAGTTGATCAGAAGTGACTGCCCCACACCTCCTCCTGACCCTTGTCTTTCAGGGACTAAGTGATGAACTTGCCCTTGTGGATACTGATGAAGCAAAACTGAAGGGTGAGGTCATGGATCTTCAGCATGGCAGCTCTTTTGTGAAAATGCCAAATATTGTTTCCAGCAAAGGTTAATACCATATATATCCTAATATCATATGGCCAAAGATCTAAGATCTTAAATTCCTTTCTATGAAGATACTTCCACTTCTTAGAGAGTTGTTTGTACTCTACTTTAAACTCTCAAAATGTTTAGCGATCTGTTTAAAGCATTTGTCAGACTGGTGTGTGAGTAGCAGTCATAGTAGTAGTTCACCACAGTAGGTGCCATTGCTCTAGTTCTGACAGTGGCCATACCGACTGGAATGCAGCACTGCCCAGCCCTCCTCATCCTCACAAGTGTTGTTAGGGCTCATTGTTTCAGACACTGTGTCAGTTTCTTCTCGAGGGGCTTCCTCTTTCAGGCTGCCACCGTGTTCAAAGTACCGGAAGTTTCCCCCCTTTGTGAAGAGCACATGACGGTGCTCTTCCGGAAGCTCTCACCAGCACCGCAGTCCAGGGGCAGCAGTGCTTAACCTTCCCTGCTGCACGGCTCTCCTGAAGTGGGATGCTTGAAAGTGCCCTGGTTTGGGCCGGCACGCTTTAGCCTGCAGTGATAGTCTGCTTTTAACACTTTAAAGAGATCGCTTGTCGTAGACTTGCCAAACAAAACGTGCCGTTTGATTTCTTGACTACGTCCATGAGTGTTGAGTGTGGATCGGAGAAACATGAATTCCTGTCCTTAATTGATTGCCCTTTGTGTCCTAGGCACTGAGCTAAGCCCTTTTTTTTCTTTCTCTTTTTGTAGTAGAGAACTTTTTATCAAAATTGTATATTGAGAAAACATTCCAACCCATTCCAGATCAAGTCCATTAAGTCCAATATTAGCCAATATGTCCAATACTAGCCCATAAATCCCCTGACTCACACAACACATGCAATGATGCCAAATGCAGTAAGTTCACAAGATCACAGGCAGGCCGGTAGGTGAAAAGTCTTGTGGATTCAATGGAAGCACCTCAGTGTTGCCGTGGGTCTCAATGTGGCTCCCCAACAGGAAGGTGAAGCAGAGAGAGGGAGAAGCCTGCCTTCAGGGAGAAAGTCCCCGAATCTGCATGAGAAGGCCACGCCCACAAGGAGGCATCATCAGGCTGTGACCTGATTGACAGGCTAGACCACCCCTCCACTTACTTATCAAGTTGACATGAAATTACCATGTATACTTGTGTATAAGCCAAGTTTTTCAGCACATTTTTAATGCAGTTTTTGTGATAAATTAGGTGTCTTGGTTGATAATCGGGTTGGCTTATACTATCGTATATATGGTATATAACTACCACATTATCCCATATATTAGAACTTCGTTTATCTTTCTGGCTGAATAGTGTTCCATTGAATATATGTACTACGTTTTGTTTATCCATTCATGTGCTGATGGACATTAGATTGTTTCCAGCCTCTCCCATTGTGTTTTGTTATTGTTGAAAATATAGACAAGACTATACACCAATTTAGTCATTTCTGTGAGTATAATTCATTGAGTCAGTGACTTAGATTACATTCCTTGAGCTCCATTCTCACCCTCCCATTATGGGTTCCGTCATTTTTGTTATCATGTTATTAGGGGCTCATGCAACTCTTACCACAATCCATACATACATCAGTTGTATAAAGCACATTTGTACATTCATTGCCCTCGTCATTCTCAAAACATTTACTCTCCACTTAAGCCCCTGGCATTAGGTCCTCATTTTTCCCCTCCCTCTGAGCTAAGTTCTTTTCATATGTTCTGTTCTCCGTACAACTATCAAGCTTGACAGATGATCCGCTGTGAACTGAGGATAAGTACAAATGGTAGAATGGGGACTTGGAGCCCGTTTCATGGGACTCCAAAGCCTTTAACACTTTTCGTTACTTGGCACTCAGGAGATTTTGGAGAAATGAGTGAACAAAATCTCCCTGTCAGTGGTTTCCCCCACCCCCACCCCCAGCCCGCAGGTCACTCTCCGAGTAAATATGCCCAATCTCTAGGCTAATGGGCAGTTGGCCCCTTACTATACAACCTAAAAATGTATTAGGATTTTCCAAATGCACAAGGAAAATTTAGTCATAATTTCATAGAAATCAAAATCACAAGAGACCAGGTTTCCTGCTTAGAGATTGGCAGCACTCTCTAAGATTATGGTCCCTTGCCCTTCAAACTGGAATGAAACTCAACCAGGACATTAGAATAACTAACCTGCTACGATCACCAGGACACGGAGGGAGTGGGCTGAGTGACAGTAGACTGAGGAGACTGCAATGAGAGATTTGAATCAGAAGGCGCATGAACTATGAATCAGCATGTAAACCTATGGTCTCTAAACCTCCATGTAGTTCACAGTGAACAGCCATTTCATAGGTTAGGTGTACTAAATGTTAGATATTTTCTTACTCTATTTTCTATTGAAATCTTTCCCCAGATTACAAGGTCACTGCAAACTCCAATCTCGTGATTATCACAGCGGGTGCACGCCAGGAAAAGGGAGAAACACGCCTTAATCTAGTCCATCGAAATGTGTCCATCTTTAAATTAATGATTTCTAATATTACTCAGTACAGTCCCCACTGCAAACTGATTGTTGTTTCCAATCCAGGTCAGCTTTATTTTGATGGTTGAATGAAGATTATTTGGGCGGGGGTGGTGCATTTAGTAACCGCTGAAAAAAAGTAATTTAATGGGTATTCTAAACTACAAATACAACTCCATATTCTTGTTTTGTTAATAGAACATGTTTTTTACATATTTGTGATTAGTATTATCAAGATTTCTTTAAACTCTAGTTTGTATTGAAGAACAGTGTGCTTAATCATGAATTCAATATTTACATTCTAAAGGCTGTTTTATGTAAAGTATCGTACAGATTACTGCCTCTGTGAAAGTAGCACTATTGTTTACTGTCTAAATTTTTCAATATTGTATTATACTTTTCACTGGTCTAGGTACAAACTGAACAGATTCAAGGCAGACTTTGGAGGTAGTCAGGGCGAGGAATTAAAATGATTTCCAGACTTCTCCCTTGAGCTACTAGTTGGATCAACAACCAGTTCCATTTACCTCCATAGTAATGGGATGTTTTTCAAATTTCTAAATTGTGGTGAAATACATATATATATATATATATATATATATATATATAT